GCGCCTGCTGAACACAAATAGCCGATTCATAAGATGGATGGTAAAATTATGGATATTTTGAACATTTTCCGAAACAGTCATTAGAATTTAACGCCAGAATAAACATATTGCGAAACCGCGAGTGGTCAGAACGAATTCTTTTCAATGTCGGCGAAAGGTAACTGTGGCTCTGACTGCTTTGCAAACCTAACTTCTACGACCTAAACCTACAGATGCGCGTAGGAATGCTTGTCTATCAATTCGCGTGTGTTGTAGCAAGGCAGAAACTGGACAAAAATTAATAGCAAATTAATTTCGTCCAGACAAAGGCTCGAGAATCAAATGAGTTCACCGTTTGCACATCGGTAATCAATTGCAATCCCAGTTAATTCATCAATCAGAGCAATTGGGACCATACAAACGGTTCAACCAAAACTACAGACATGGCTATTGGAAGATACCAATGAAAAGTTGCGCAAGTTTTCATCAAATTTTAAGTTGACCCGTCAGACAAACAGTCAAACAGACTATAAACTACGACGGGAGGATTAAGCTGCAAGAAATGTGAATAAGACTAGCAGGAAACTGCACAAGCAAGTCGCCGAATAAGCAGCAAACGGTTTCCCCCCAAGAATGCTACACGGTTCGGTACGGTACTTGTTCCGTATGATCAAAACCTACCACATTACACAGGATGACTCTATCAAGAAACTCTGGCAATCTGTGCTCCGTTCAAATGTACATAGCGAGAGGATTCTGCAAAAGGGAACAGCTAATCAATCACTGTAACCAGGTTTCAAGAACCCGTGCAGCTGTCTGAGCGGAAAGATATGATCGACAAAATCAGGACAGATACTGGTATGTGGTTCGAGGCGCCGGTAGCCTAAATACATCGCTCATTCCTGAACATGCTCTACTGATAAGATATGATCATTTAGATACTTTCGCCTTACACTGATGCAGTACTTGTATCATTCCCGCTTCGTATTTCATAGTTCGCGAGTACATAAACCCGAAAGAGCCAAGGATATACAATGCTCATAAACCTTCAGTAGAGAGGAACTTTAATCCAGTTTTCCCCCACCCCCTTTGATAGGGACTCAAGAAGATAATTGCACTAGAATAGGAGAAAGACTACGATTTGAATTGGAACCTATAGTCGACCTCGAATAGAGTCACTTGCAAGCACTACACACGCATCTACGTAAAATGCTCCCGTCGATCTTAATTGAAATTCTTGAAACAATTTTGCATTTAGCGTGAAACCGCTGGTAATATTCGGTGGGATATTTCTAGGTGTTTCCACCATATTGTCAACTTTATTTATTCACACAATAAGAAGTCTTCACTTTTTATGACGTTCAACAAAAAATAACTGGCACGCTAGGACTTTCAACTTCGCCCACTGGGTTTTTTTAAAGTCAAATGTAAGACCCCGATGAATTGTTTACAACAGCAGGGATTTGAATGCATGTCAAACTAAGAAGTAAATGTTCGAAAAATGAGAAGTCAGCATCTACTTGAGTTTTTTGTCATATTGCTCCCAAACGGGATGGTGAATCATTTATTAGGCGTATGAAGTAAACGATACGGGGTCTACTGAACTGTTGTCCAAAGCCGATCACTTAAAAAAGTTAAAATGACTTTGTTTGGTCAGTCCCAAATTGAATATGCTTAAAATCACAAAAATGAGTGACCTGCAACCGATGTGTATAATTCATCCTAAGCATTCTTCATGTTAAGCTAAGAATGTCTTTGCTGTTCGGCCGTGATGGTTTTGTTTCGTTGAGTTCATTCCTCAGGCCAACATGAACTAATCATTTTCTTAGGTTCAGAACCTCTAAGAATGTCCAAACTCAGCTTTCCAAGGGTTTTCACGTTTTTACTTCCATGTGTAGGTACTCATGTACCTGGTTTATACTTGGGCTGTTGTGCACTACCGCTATAAATCTAGGCTTTCATCGGATATTTGCATATATTTTTCTAACCCCATGATTTTTTCCATGCTTACGACAAATATTCAAGGACAAGAAATGTTTACAATGGTAAATTAGGAAACGCACATCTTCAGGTTTAGTCACATTCATACACACGATACGTTCTTGGAGCGGAAAAGTAACTATCCAGTTCTGGGATGTAAGTACTGGAGATTCTGTGAAGTTCCACTGTCTCTCCCTGGACTTCCTAAAACGAAAGCGCCTCACACTCGTGATCGGTTATTGCGAAACCTGATAACATTCAGGTACCTGAAAAAGACATTCTACAAGAGCAATCTCTCCGTGAACCACAAAATATAGATTAACTAGCACATTTTGGGACGCTTTCGCCGTTATCGCCTCATAGTACATCCCACAGAGCATGTTTTTCACAGTTGTTTACAACCACTCTGAGATTTATGATTACCCTTCAATTCTCAGCAGGGAGAACCGCTCGCGATTCCAAGGCCTATGAGCCTTACTCCCGAGAACACTACCAGAGGTACGTCAGCGTACAGTTTGAAAGTATTCCCACAGTAAATATGCCGAGTTTTGCTTATAAAATGTTTTGTATGAGACGAGTGTATAAAACTTTCCAAAACGTATTTCGTAGCTACTATTCAAAAACAAAAGTGCATCAAATGGAATGAAAAATGCATTGTGACGGTAGTGTTTTAGCATTGTAGCTGACGCGGTAGTAAGCTTTCTGCTCTCAGTCTATCAGTCTCGAATTAGGCTGTCCTTGCATTTCAGAAATTTTATATTTTGTGCTCATGTGTTCATTTTTTCCACCAAAATACAGATGATTTAGGAACTATTCCGTCGTTATTAGCGAAAGCCTCGGATGAATTCCTTAGTTGTGATATAAACAAATGAATATGCTGCCGCAGTGCATTTAATGAACACATCTGCCATAAGTTTATTTAAAACGTGTCGACAGCACACAGCCAGCTTTGGTCTTCTTAGAATGCCCAGCTGCATCTCTCGCTCGTGATATTCGGTCGGCTTAGACCCTCATTAACAAAAATAAAAGTAGCTCACCACTTGCTTGCGACATGATGTTAAATTATAATAAGACGTTCATAAAATTTCGGGAACTACGACTATCGAATTAGCCTTAATTTGGGCACACCAGTTGAGGAGCATTCAGTACAATTATAAACTGCGTTTTGCCCAAAAGTATTCCCCTTCCTCCACCAATCGGGCTGCATCATGGGAGTTGTAGTTTTCACTCCTTCATGGTAGTTCAATTAGACTGCATCACTTCTGTTGTGGATGTACAGGGGACGGATGGCTTACTTTGACTGACTTTACTGACTGACTGTCTTGCTTGCCTGTGCTCTAATCCCTCGGTTATATTCAAAATTAGTTGTCTGTTGTAGAGGTTCAGGTTTAGTCGAGCCATTGGTGAAGGATATTGAATTTTCAGTCGTATCCCTTCATAAGTGGATCACTTTTATTGGATGTACATTGATTTTTTCATAAAGATGTTAAACGCTAAAATTGAAAATGGACCTAATAATACCACCTAGTCACAAACGGCGAGATGTCTCAAGTGGCTAGAGCGCGAGTTTACTAACTGTTCGAACTCGACCTCTGCCTCCTGACATCCCCTGTTTAGCCTTGAGCAGTATCTTAGCCTTCGTGCTTCCTTTGGGTGGCACGGCAGCTATGCACCGGAAGGATGTCACAGCTGAACTAATTTTTTGGGTGTAACAAAGTTCAGACCTGTGTGAACGTTAGGGCTCAAAATTTTGAACTAACGTTAACTCGTTGAATATTGCAACTTATACGCAGGCTAGCAAAATTATCACCCATCCGTCCTGCAGAGAGCAGTAAGTGAAGAAAATCAACGTAGAAATTTTTGTTATATTTACGAAAGTTTTCCCCATCTCGTTTCTAACAATATACGCCACGTGGAAATCCGTCGGTCATTTATGAGTCCGCATTCATCAGTAAGCTCTAGGTAAGTTAAATGAAGTGTAACTAGGCGCTTGCCAGAAACGTCTAGCTACTGGTCTCGCTGCCCTGAGTTTATCAAGAGATTTCTTAGTATTCTGTGCCTGGTTGATAAGTACAATAATGCCCTAATTGCCTGGTGATATTGTGCAACGAAAACTCGATGTAATCTATTCAAAGATTTCCTGAAAATAGAATTACTTTCCTAAAGGAAACTACTCACAAGGTTGCCGAAAACTCTTCGATTGTTAGAGTCTGACTGGACTCTCATGAAAAACTGCGATTTTGGAATCCTTCTGATCTCCAGTTTTTTCGGGTAACTTATGAGTGCACGGGCAATGACTTACTCTGTAAACCAGATCACGCAATTTCAGTGCAAGCGATAAACCGAATACACATGCTTGCAGTTGATCCACTAAATATTCGACTGCCGCAGGCATAAACAGAAAAGTATTAAGGTGTTTTCCTCTGTGTATTACACAAAGATTTGTGAGAGCATAATAAGCGCAACAAGGGACCTTCACCGACGAAAAAGAAGTGAAATGGTAAAACGGAAGGTCTATTTTGAGGTTTGTTGTAAAACTCCATATTCGTAAACTGAGTTCAAGATCCAGTCAAATCTTCTACGCCACAAGATTATCTATTTGATGAATGCTCGTACAAATAAAATTTCAAGTATCTTTCAACACGTCCGGCAAAGAGACATTTCTAGTAGAAACCATGATCACCACAAAGAAAACACCTTAAAAATCTCACGGAAATAATACAACTATGGGTCTATCCAGAAACCCCAAGTTTACCCTGGAATAAAAATTACAAAGATGAAATTCGCAGTACATATACCGGAAGACGTTTTTTTCTTGTGTCCGGACATTGATACATTTCACTTTCGTAACGCGTTCAAAGTATCCACGGAATTCTGGATTTTACATGTCTCAGAACAGTTGATCTCACACACTACAACTCTCACCGTATCACAATTAATTGGTAATTGCGTACACAATTTGCCGCATTTTCAGTAGCCGTGTTTCAAGGAGCTTTTAGGAAGAAATCCATTTCTGCAATGTAAACATACCAATTTCCTTGAGCAAATCTACTTTTACTGCTTTTGTATGGGCTGATGAACTTAATTTCCGAAAAATTTAATAAAATTTTCATTTGACCAGTGGCAAGTCCCGATTTCGACACCTTATCTTGCTTGTGGATGGGTGTGGATTTATCTCATTTTCTTTCTTGCTGAGAGATGAACTCATTTAAGACATTGTATCCTCGTCTTATTGAGCAAGATAAAGCTGAAAATCCGATGCCGCAAAGTAGAAAACATTCTAGATAAATGTTAACCGAGTTAAATACAAGTCGACTGGAAACGTTGCAGACGATCGCTTTCTGTAGATGCGTTTGTAATGACGCTCACAAATTGCTTCCTCATCAGCCAAGTTTTAATGGAGATCACCAATCGCTGCACATCGTTAAGAATAACCTGAAGAATAGCCCAAAATGGGTTCACCATTTCGCAAATATTTTTGTAAAAGAACAAGCATCACCTTCTCTCGTTAAATTTTGAGGGTCTAATTGTACCTCCGTCTATTGAAAACACTGAGTATGGGAGATAAACCAATTTGAATAACTTTATTCATGTCAGCCCGACTTAGATCAACTCTGGTCATTACTAAACCACACAAACATCAACAAAATTACTGCGTTCTGACACGGTAATAGTCAAAGACAATCAGATTCCAGTCCCGAACATGAACTTCATTCCAAAGCCCAATCTTAGAACCTTTCATCATGAACAGATTTGTTTCTTCTCCGTCTGTTTTTACAGCGGTACGTGCAAGGAGTTTGTCCCTTGGAAAGCACACTATTCCTACACCATTCTTGCAAGCATCCAACCTGAAGGTTCATAAGGAAGTGCCGTGAGTCACCACTACACTTGTATCACATATAACAGTAACAGAACTGAATGAATATTCGGCTAATAAAATGCACTTGCTTGAAGACAAACCTCTTAGTTTTAGTTAAGCGGGCACTTACTAGTAATTAACTAGAAAATCCCAACTAATTTCTCACGTGTGCATGCAGCGATCAGTCCCTCTCTCAGGGCCATTTGATAGTACACATAGGGACAAAAATAAAACTGGCTCAATAAGTTAAGCAAGGCACGCCCATCCAAAGTTGTTTCACTTTATTGTTTTGAAGTTGTCCTAATCATCCTCTGCACACATGCGAGTCAGCTGCCCACTAGCTCATCTTTGGTCTGCTGAAGAAACAAAATTTCCCATCGCAAGCAAAAAAGAACAACAATTCATTTGATTGTGCCCGTATTTTTGTATTGCGTTATATGGTGAAAAATCGGCTTACGCAAAACTGAGGTTTGCACGATCTCAAAACCAATATGACTAGAGTTAACTTAGTGTTTAAGCAAAACGCTCGTAGCTCCATAACTTCGACCATTGCGTTCGATAGGTGGCCATCGACGCTGAGCCTAATCCAGCAACGTGCGGTCAACTGCTCGCAACTTCGTTGCAGCTGTCACAAAGCACCTCCGTGAATCAGAAAACAGGAACAGCAACGAGAAAGGTTCAATTAACCTTGGCTGCTTAAATATAGCGAGTAATATATAATTAACTTGATTAAAAACGGCCAGAGCATGGCACAGGAAATCCCGCAACTTTATGTTATAACTAACAGTGCGAAAGGTGCAGTTCTCAAATTAGCAGGTAAACAAGAGCCGAAATTTCAATTTATTACCATCAGTTTGCTTTTCGAGATTACGCGTATATGTACGAAAAGTAAATCCGCCATTCTTGTGCGTATGGATAGAAAATTACAAACCATATCCGAACCTTCGGTTTCTTGCATAAATTTTGATCTGGATCTAGCCAAAATGAGATAAAAAATTATACAACCAAAGACCAACTGGAAGTCTGTCATCCCGTCGGATCAAGAGAGTCAGCGAGCGCCAAAACCTTCTGGTAAGGCAAACTGCAGGAAACTACTTAAAATGTTGAAAATTTTTAGGGTTTGTTGAGGGTATTTGAAGATAAATGCCGCCACCGTTTTCAAGGCTATTTTCCTCAGTAGAGTGTTTTCATATAAAACATTTCCATCGAATAACTACATCTTTTATTTATTCTTTGGTGTGCCGTTTATACTAAACTAAACTGTAGGAAACATACACGAGCAGAATAAACGCTTGAAGACTCAGACGGTTATTTGTTAGCTGTGCAGTACATGATCTACTTATACCATAAACGATGCCCACTTCTAGTGAGCATCTAGTTAATATTCAGCATGTGACTCCCGGTTAAAATCGCTCCCACAATCTAAAAAATTATAGTCAACCGAATGTAAGTCGCCAACACATATACAGTGGGTGCGACACAATCGCAAGAACAGCCCATGTTGTCTATTTTTCTAACTATAGTTCCGGGTTTTTCGGAATCACTTTGTAATATTCTATTTAGTTTTATGGCCAACGCTAGTTCATTTCTGTCTACGGGTACCTCCAAATCAATGTCGGATTGGCGGATGTCTCGCCGTCTGTACCCCTAAACAACTAGCTTACGGTGATCTTTGGTCGGGCGGAGATCAAGATCACAAGTTGGTCAGAAAGATGCAAGACAGTCCTGTGTGATATGAATGATTCAAAATCCCAGCAATTCTTTTGCAATAATCCACCATCCCGTCTACCGACTGTAAGTAGTGGTAAAATCTTGTGCTTGAATTTTTGGTTTTAACTAACATGTCCCAGTCATTGGTCTTTGTGCCAACCATCATAAATCAAACACCACCTAATTGAAATGATTCCTCGCATACGAGCATACTGTTGGAAACAACTTATGTCTACTCGGTGGTACCAATGTTCAAATGACAACTGACTTCAAGCGTTCATACTCGCATTTCAAATGTAGCGGCATTGAAAATGTGATCCATTTCACGTAATCAAATTTCTTCCCTGTTTTGTGTTTATTTTATTGAGCCTCTTGTTCAAACATATAGTGAGCAATGCCGAACTTGCACTGAGAGATTTTTATTCATTGTGAGGAAGCGATAGAAACTTCAGCACCTTACTTTGACCGGCTTCCGCCTGTCTCGTGAAACGGTTGACTTAGCAACTTACAGGCTACATCCTACCATACCAATTGCACGAACGTACAAAATTTCGCAGTCCAAAAAAGCAGTAAGTGACCACTTTAGAGGAGAAAGAATGGAGCGCAATTCCAAATTCAAATCCTCGATTTTTATCACAGCATGTAATAATAGGTCGTAGACTGTAAATCATTGAGGTATTATCCACCAGGTAGGTCTTTTGGCTGTGTGTGCTCCCACAAAGCTCATTTTCAACCAAAGCTTGAGGCGAAAATCTTTCACTTTAGCGGCAGTTCAGCTTTTGACTGGAATGTAGATAGGTGAGCTGTGTGGTGTTATTCACTGTCCTGAGGTTAAGATGCAAGTTTGGCATACACATAATGGCACCTCGGGAAACGTCAGAATCTCAAGATACTTGGAAATTTTCATCAATATTCACGTGCAACCTACAGGAATGAGTTGTTTACACTCGAGGTTAAGTTCGCGGAAATAATTCCAAACAAACAATGTTTACTTCGGTTGTCTTGGTCGCCAGCTGCCAAGTATATGCTTGCCACCATGCTAGGTCTTGCGTGGGCAAAAGTAAACGATGGAGCTCAAACTCAATATGATCACTTAGTCTGAACTTTAGTCTTGATGTTATCAGTGATTGTTCAGATGCACCGAGTTTAACAAGGTTTGACAACGCCAACTTGCTAGACTTCTGACCGCAACCAGCATGAGGTACTTTATTTGGGGCTACTTGCGCATGTAAATAGATTGTAAACTTGGCCTAGTCGTAGTTGTGACATGATGGTCTTAATAAGGAAAGTGAACTGAGGTTGGGCGCTTAAGTTCTCCTGTCGAATTTAACGGCGAATGCGAAATAGAAGATTTATTGCTTCAACGCTTTATAGATACGGAGAGTAAAAGATAATTCTGGTCAGTTACGATTGTCCAGACAGTGATGGCACAATTCACACGCAAGGCATTCAGCAAAATTTTCTAACTCACCCTGACAACTGGTAACATTTTGAACAGAATAAGCGGTTATACTTATGTACCTACTCAAAGCGTACATACATCAGAGAGATATTGCCTTTGTTCCTGAACATTTGCATTGTCCGTTAGCGTGTACTTGCATGTGGCGATGTGCTCCTGTAAAAATAGCTGGCGCGTTATTTTTACCTTACTGGTTTTGTCATATCAGTTACAACTGACGTTTTTCTCACCATTATAGGACTACTAGTGCCAAGGTCATCTAACAAACGCATCACCGCAAAAGTAAATAGGTTTTTACGCAGCATTGCTTATACATACGAGGGCTTTCCTATTGAAACACGAGATGTCCTTTTCGTGAATCACTTATTTATATATGATCATAAACAGAATATTCAGCTGAGATTGCGCTGTCTCCATCGTCCAAAACTTATTTGTTTATTTTAGGCCGAGTGTATCGAGTAAACTCTAAATTTTCTCCCTTTCTTGATGAGTTGCCAAACCTGCATTCCGTTTTTTGTCTTACACACAGCACACCGGAGTTCTGGTTAGTAAACAACAAGCGAGATTTTTTGTTTAACACAGTTCTTATTCTACTTCTGCCGGGGAAATTAAGAAACCTAGCCCTACCACAATTTATTTTTCATTCTTTAACAGTAACTCATCATGCTCTATGCGTTTTACCTAACCCCCATCGTTCAATATGTATGGATGTTGACGTCAACAGTTTAAGTATCACAGACTCTATTCTCTTACTAACTGTTTTTTAGATTGCCTGAAGAAACAGTGAAGAACCAGGTACTCACATCACACCCAAACACGCAAAATGATGAAGAGTACCCTCATCCCGGAATCACAAAGGACTTGATAGCAAAATTCTCCAAGTTTTCGAGCAACTAGTCATCGGGATTTTATTTCACGCGCTCCTTCATTTTGCAACATTTCATCCTGTTCATTATGCGCTTGTATTTAATTTTTGATGCCGATGAGAAGACTCATTCACGGTGCTTACGCGGCAACCGGATTTTTCGCTTCCATTTATATACAGTTGTCCCCTGAATGGCGATAAAAATGTATGGCCGTTACGTTATAGACGTAAGCAATAATGTTTGCTCCTAATCCTATTCGGGTCCGTTTTTGTATCTACCGCTTGTTACCACGTTTTTCATTGTGTCGTGAGTGCAACAAACTCACATATGCTGCCGTAATTTTCCACCGTTTTATTTATTATTCGCTTTTACGTTAAGTATGTTGTTTTTTCCATTCCTGAGGAGCATCAGAATAGTTATTTTTGCACCTCCTACTAGCCACGGGATTTATGGGCTTCATAGCCTATCAACTACCAGAACTAAAGTGAGCATCGGACACATGTACGTATAAGTTAGTTTAAAAATATGAAAATATGTTAGGTTCAAATTCAAATAATCTTGAATAACGACCATTTGGCAATCAGGTCACCTGCGCACATCTTGCTGATAAATCAAACAAATTATCCCGGAGCAAATACTTTTTTTAATGATTTTGCGGTTCCCTAACCGCCTCTTTAAAGCTGCCACAAGGTTCACTTAGGATACATGGCACGTCAGACAGCTCCGTTGGTTTGAGGACGACAGCCTGGTTAAACGAAAGCGAGGTAGGCTAAGCAAAACCACAGAAAGCATCTTAGAGATAATCACTGAAAGATCAAATCCCTCATTATATTTTATTGATACGAGTGAATGGACCATGTGTCATATCAACAGCTTATCTCGCAGTGTTCCGAGTGGTGGCTCAGCGCACCCGCAATCATTCGTGCTGTGTGCTTACAAACATCCCACATTCGAAGAGGATTTTTTATCACATTTTAAAACAGTAGCTATTTTGTTGGCTAGTGCGTTAGTAAGGATGGTCCTAAAACAC